CGCTCCTCTCACGCTCGACTCGACCGGATATATATCACTGGAGACCTTTATGACAATATTTCTGATTACTCAGTGAAACCTATATTTTTCTCAGACCACTGCCTTGTATCTGCAACTTTTGGGACAAAGAAACAACCCCCAATAAGACGTGAATGGAGCCTGTGGAAATTAAACACATCACTCTTAAACGACAAAATATTCACCGATGCTATACCCTCTATCCTTTCCTGTGTCAAACAGGACGCTTCCCTACACGTGTTTTGTAAATGGGACATGTTCAAGCAAGAAGTTAAAAATTGGGCAATTGAACGCTCAAGCTCCATTACCTTTATGAAAAAGCTAGAGCTACGAAACCTGCTCGCGATGCTATCAGAGCTTTATGAGCTTGAAAGCCTCAATCCCGGCGAATATACTGAGGAGATTAACATGGCAAAGACACAACTACAAAGATACGATACCGAGAAATATCGAGGCGCGGTGATCCGATCGCGCTCGCAAAAATATTTGCTCGGAGAGACGCCTGGACGCCGGTCCTTTGATGATGAAAGGAAATATGCCCTAAGCAAAGAAATACTTGAAATAGAACACAAAGGCAGCGCCCACACTGAAACGCAAAGCATTATAGAAGCTTTCCAAGACCACTACACTTATCTTTTCGGAAAGAGTATTGAGACCAAAGAGAGCGAAGAGATACAAAAACTTATAGAATGCATGCCATCTTTAACAGACAAAGAGAAAGAGAGTGTTGAAGGCTCTCTGACCTTGGAAGAAACACAAGCTGCGATAAAAGCTCTACCGTCAGATAAGACTCCAGGCCCGGACGGCCTGGGCGCTGAGTTTTATAAGAAATTCTCATGCCTGCTGAGTCCATTGCTCCTTGATGTATTCAAAGCCGCATATGAGCACCAAACACTACCGCCAACCTTTTACGAAGGACATACAGTGCTTATACCCAAAACAGAAGACACGTTAGCTTTGAAAAAGATGGAGGCTTACAGGCCTATATCACTTTGCAATGTAGACTATAAGATCTTCGCAAAAGTTTTAAATGAACGTTTACATCTCATAATAGACAATCTAATCGGAACTCATCAAACTTGCGGTATACGTGAAAGAAATATTCAAACGAACATACATGTTGCAAGGTCCGTAATAGATTCAATATCCGACGAACAAAATAAAGTAGCCATAGTCCAACTAGACTTATCCAAAGCATTTGATAGAGTTAGCCACTCCTTTTTATTCAGGCTACTTTCTCACGCAAACGTAGGGACCACAATAATAAAGGGCATTCAGCTATGTTACAAGAACAGCACCACAAGACTAATTATAAATAACTCACTTTCTGAACCTATACTTATAAAATCCTCGGTAAGACAAGGTTGTCCACTTTCACCACTGCTCTTTACCATATATCTTGAACCTTTATGCCGTAGTATTATCAACAAAAATACAATTCGTGGCTATCAACTTTGCTCCGCAGAGGTAAAGCTACTAGCCTACGCCGATGATGTAGCGTTATTTTGTTCAAATAAGGCGAGTGTTGAAGAAGCACTTCAGGTAACAGAGAAATATTGCAACCTAACTGGAGCAAGGTTGAATGCAGAAAAATCAAACGGTTTTTGGATAGGAGCGTGGGCAACCACTCCGAAATGCTTTGGTGGGATTTCATGGAATCGCTGTCCTTTCAAATACCTTGGTGTTCCTCTTGACCAAACTCGTTCCACTGATCCATATTGGAGCACCGCCGTAACTATAATTAGACGTAAATCGCAGGCATGGAGGGCACGAGAAATGTCAATTTTCGCTAAAGCAGCCGTCTGCAACACCTTCTTAATATCCAAACTTATGTATGTTTTGCAAGTACTGCATTGTAATCGCTCTAAAATTCAAGCTTTTCACCGAATTTTCGCTACATTTATCTGGAGTTCTCCTTGGGAACGCATGAAACGCGATAATTTATTTATTGCCTTTGGACTCGGGAGGCCTGGGCCTGGCGCATTTATTTGTGCGCCAGCTGGTCTCAAGATTGTTTTTCTTTAGGAATTTATCCCACCCGTTTCTTCTCATGGCTGTTCAAAGAAAACTGGTTCACCATTTACCCTTTCTTATCGTTTCTACTACAAGCTCTGCTCCAAGCGGCCTCTGGGGTTTCTGGAAAGAGGTAGTCGATACCTTCTTGTTTTTAAAAGTCCGTTTTTCATTAGACTATCTTTTTGAAGTACCCAGAAAGCGGTTAGCACAAGCGTTGATCGAAAGTTTTTTTCCCGCTCCGTTATACAGATCTAAGTTCGGTAACTGTGAAGGACAGGACGTTCTAAAACGTGTAAAGCGTATGTCTGTATCTCCAAGCGCTAAAACGTTCATGTTTAAACTACACACGTCAACGCTTCCAGTCAAATGGTGGCTCCAGAGCCGCGGTTTCTTTGTGCCTTGGTCAATTGACTGTCGTTTATGCCAGCAGCCGGAAACAATAGAGCACTGTTTTATTTACTGTACAGATGCGATTTTCTTCTGGGATGTGCTCCAAAGAACCCTAAGAAAAGATATTGACTGAACTGATCACAGTATTCGTTACTTATACGTCCCGACTGAAACAAATATCCCTTATGATTTATTTATGCTGATTGGTTTACACAGTCTCTGGAGATGCCGGATGATCGACAGAAATGCTGACATTCCACGCACAACTAAATCCATATTTCTAGAAGAAATTGCAAAAGTTAGAAGTGTTTATGAGGCCCACCCACCAGTGCCCGACTGGTTTCCTCTGTTTGACGCTTGTCTAGGACTTCCTGATTTTTAATATAGTGAAAGCAGCCAACATCCGTACATAATCAAATTATGTCTTTCATACACAACACACTTGAAATGTGTTTGCCTTAGGAATTTGTTTAAGTGTATGCCATGAATAAGTTGTACTCTCCGTTTCCGCAAAAGTGTATAGTGCCCAGAGTGAAGACATGAGTGCGACACGAGTGCAAGTACAGTCATTATGTTCATCAAGGACTGATCACCAGGAGAGCATCCATTCACCACCTCCATCCTCATGTATATAACATTCACTGTGTGTATATAGAATTCGAACTTTAAATTGTGATTTTCCATGTATTAAAGAAAAAAAAAAAAAAAAAAAAAAGCTGTGGATTAGCTCAGTGGGTAAGATGTGCGCTTCGTACACAGCAGGATCTTAGTTCAATCCCCCGAGAGAATTTGTTTTTTTTTTTTTTTTCTTCGGACTTTTGTTTTTTGTTGAGGTATTGGGCGATATTTACGGCATCTCTCTTTTAGAATTAACACTACAAAAAAAAACACGCAAAAAAAAAAAAAACAGAAAAAACACCAGAAATCAGCCGAGTTCTCCGAGCGGTTTTAATAGGTCGATAAAACAACTTTTGCGTTTGCTATCTCGAAGAAATTTGACACACAAACAGTCCTACCTGGTGCGAGACCCTTCCCCAACAATTTGATAGTTGTACCTATAATTGTTTTCTAATTACGAGCGGGGGCGGCAGCTCTTTGAAGAATATCAATCCACTCGTGCTCGGGAGACCGTCCCTGTTGATCGAAAAGTCTCGATTGAGATGAGCTGACACGGTTTCACTGCACACACATTTTCCTACGATGTTGTTTTCACGACCACGATCGATGAATGCACTCCAGCGGTCTTGAATATTCACGGGTGAACGATTGAACTTGGTCGGGGTTTTTAATCTCCAAGCAGAGTCCCAAAAACCTGTTTTCGCGAGTATAACGAGTTCTAGACGAGCTGGAGCGATGAAAATTAACAGTGCGTCTAAATTCAGAGCGCGATCATTCGCTGCGAATTAGAACCTTCCAACTATCGTAGTTTTCTTTATACGAGGATATGCCAAATCACAACACCACAGAATGAAGCCTTACACGTAAACTTTTTAATCAACACTTTCTTATTAGATTAGCTACATCGATGAGACGCGCCTATAATGTTCCTCGGAACATCCCACTCGCCTGGTTAAAATAAATGACCCAGCTAGCACTTGTGGATTGATATACTTGAATACAAAGTACAGAGATACAAAAAAAGAAGAGAAAACGCAAGTTCAAAGGCTGTATAGATAATACAACGCCGCTGACAGCGTCTTGCAATAAGCGCAACAGAGAACATTAAAAGAATGTATGTGCTCGCTTTTGGGCGAGCACACACATAAAAAAAACACATTTCTTTTTTTTTTTTTTTTTCACGATTACCATTGGAAACAATCAAATTTCTGAATAACACTGATAAGGTACTTCGTTTCCGCAGGTGTGCACAGCAGGGGCCTCTTGGTCCGTTTAACCTCAGATTGTTATATTATATTAAAAACGCAACACCAGGTAATCCGTAAAATGGGAGAGCGGAACAGGGGAAAATTGTAATGTAATAGCTCACAACAAAGTTGGGAGGAGTGGAAGTAGTGGGCAAGAGGAAAATTAAAACACCATGCAAAGGGTTACACATCAAACAAACGCTCCATCGACTGCAAAACATTGTCAGATACAAATCTGCGATGAGGTAGGCTGTTTCATTCTGTTATGGTTCTGGGAAAAGAGTATTTAAATGCATTTGTAAGCAGATCAAGACCCTATGGCGTCGGGAAGTATTTAAATTCTTTTTTTTTTATATTTGGTTTTTATTCATTTACACTGCAGGCCATTTCCAATCCCCAAGCAGGGTGCGACGAGAAGGAACAAAAAAATAACAGTAACCCGACAAATCTGGTACACTGGAGATCACAAAAAGAAAGAAGAAAAAACACAAGTTCAAAGGCTATGTATAGATATAATAGAACGCCGCTCATAGCGCCTTGCATTAAGCTCAAACATAAGAAAGAAGAATTTATGTCCTCGCTCTTTTTTTTTTTCACGATTACCACGGGAAAAAATCAAATCTCTGAACAAACTGATAAGGGACTTACTTCGTTTCCGCAGGTGTGCACAGCAGGGGCTTCGTCCTCACCAGCAAAACACAAAACAACAGATTTCTCCGTTTTAACCTCACGTTTTATTAGGCTTGACGTCAAACTTTATTAGGCCGACAATGCAAGTTTCCGGACGAGCTGTCTCGATGAAAACACACTTGTTCCTATTCAGTGAATTCGCACGAGCTAACACGATTTCATAAAAACACTTTTTGCTTGGAGCAAGTTCTCAGTTGCCATTCAAGCGGTCTTGATTAAGCACAGGTCATCCGCAGCTGAAGGAGGTCACTTGAAACGGAGGGCCAGCCGTGCAACTCGCTCTTGCGCTGCACAAAAAGACAATCTTTAGCGCCCTACATTAAAGATGCACCGAACGTTCTTACGCCACACACATATCTTTTTTTCTTTTCTTCCGTGCGTCAGAGAGTGATGAAACGTTTGAGTTCGTAGAGGCCGGCTTCCTAGCTCGGCGCCGCCGAATTCCGTGTTTCCCCTGAAAAGAACAAAAGAATTCGTGCAAGAAGTCGGCTCCAACGGTCGTCCAAGGGACAAACGAGCTGTAGCAGACGGCAGAGTTTCGGGGAAAGCTCACGCCACTAGCAAAGCCTGGCCTGGCGCTGCTGCCCGCCCGCCGAAACCGCTCCTCCTTTCCCTCCTTCGGGACACGCTAGTATCTTTTTTTTGGGCTTCTTGTCGGCTGCGTTCTTGGCGCCCGACTTGATTGACAGCCTCTGTCTGGCGGTCTGCTTTAATCTCTTCTTCCCTGCCTTGCAGCGGGGACTGCTCCTCTTTGTGCAATAGCTACTCTGGGGCGTTTTTCTTTTTGCTATTCTTTGCTTTAAAAGCTCTTTCCCCGCGTCTAGCAAACACACACACTTCTTTCGCGGCACCGTTAATGAACACCGTCTGCGTTTAGAAACTTACAAACGAACAGCACCGAACTCGATTACCGAAGCGCCGATGAAATTAATCAGCGCGCCCAGCGAAAACCCAACACGCTCGAACGCTGATTTTACGATGCAAGATAATAAAAAAAAAACGTATTTGGACCCTACCAAACTTATTACAGCAAGAAATTAAGAAATACGAGCAAAACAATATTGCGCAATCCTTAATCGGACGTTCGAATAGCGGCTGACTTCGTTTTATCAGTTAAAAAAATAATAAACGTAGGTAGACACGCTGAACTTCACGTATAGCCGGTATGTAAAACCTTAGTAAATAAAATGTAAATAAACTGTTGGCTTTAAAACGGTATGTACACATACCGTTTTAAAGCCAACAGTTTATTTATTATTTCGTGCCAACTGAGAAATCGACACGAGTTCAAAAGACGAATTTTGCCTAACGAAAACTGCCCAAACGCCTAGGATGTGCAGGTCACGCTTGCATAATTGTGGAATGCCTTTTTCCCACCCTATTATAGTTTGATCGCTCACTCCTCTCTTTTTCCGAGGCAGTATTCCATCATTTCGCGATGGAATACGCGCTTCAAAGCTTAATACACTTTATATCTTTGCCGAGCATGGACCTATCAAAAAAAGCACTTCCATGAAACATGCATAGGTAAATCTTGCTCGCGCTCTGGTAAAGAGCCTTCAAAAAAACGACCAGCCGCTCCGCCGAGAATTCAATTCATCTTGCGCGCCTATATCACGCTCAATATAGTAGATCCCATTAAAAGCCTTCTTTGCCGACACTCGGAAAAGCGTGCAGAAACTCGCTCGCTCCGAAAAGAACATTTCCATCTACCAACCGCCGAGCACAACAAACGCTCTTCTAATCTCCTCGCAAAACGCACGCGCTCACACAAACGACTTTGGGCAAAAACAAAGATCATGAAATGATCTTTGTTTTTATTCCCAGCGTCATGTACACGCATTTCTTGCGTGGAACAACGAATGAATAACTGCTATCTGCGTTTAATTCGATCTAGAAATCCCGTCGCGCCCGTTTGTTCACTTTCTGCCTTCCAGGTTAGACAACCTTCCTTCAAAAAATCCTAAAAAATCACCAATTCGTGCTAGAAGTGCCTGCCTCGGACGATAGGCAGCGAACAATTAGCGCCTTAGTTTGCGATTAAATAAGCTTCTGTACGCGTTTAATTAAAACTTGAAAGCACGCCGCCCGTCACGCGCGATGCCGGCGTTCGCTTTTCCAGGAGGGTTAAACACACTGCTCCTTTTTTCTTTAAGTTGAAAAAAGGTAATAATAAAAGTAGATAGATTCTTAATTTCGTGTGCCGTTAGACAAACGTGTGCGCTAAGAGCACAGAAAAAGAGAGTGTTCTAAAGGTAGTATTTCACTTTTATTTTTAATTTTTGCCGGATCTTAGACGATCGGATCGCGGCTCGAGCGCGCTTTCCGGACTCAACCGCTTCACTCTCTAACCGAAGAAAAAATAGTTGTACGCATATCGAAGTATATATTTTCCGAAAGCTAATGAACTTGTCCAATAGGTGTAAAAATTATTTGATTTTAAACGGAATTATTCTTCTTCATATTTCGATCTAACCAGCCAAACTAGTTTTCGGGTGCTCTGGGTGGCTGGTCGATTTAAGTTAAAAAAAGGTAATAATAAAAGTAGATAGAGATTCTTAATTTCGTGTGCCGTTAGACAAACGTGTGCGCTAAGAGCACAGAAAAAGAGACTGTTCTGAAGGTAGTAGTTCACTTTTATTTTTAATTTTTGCCTGATCTTAGACGATCGGATCGCGGCTCGAGCGCGCTCCGGACTCAACCGCTTCACTCTCTAACCCAAGAAAAAATAGTTGTACGCATATCGAAGTATATATTTTCCGAAAGCTAATGAACTTGTCCAATAGGTGTAAAAATTATTTGATTTTAAACGGAATTATTCTTCTTCATATTTCGATCTAACCAGCCAAACTAGTTTTCGGGTGCTCTGGGTGGCTGGTCGATTTAAGTTAAAAAAAGGTAATAATAAAAGTAGATAGAGATTCTTAATTTCGTGTGCCGTTAGACAAACGTGTGCGCTAAGAGCACAGAAAAAGAGACTGTTCTGAAGGTAGTAGTTCACTTTTATTTTTAATTTTTGCCTGATCTTAGACGATCGGATCGCGGCTCGAGCGCGCTTTCCGGACTCAACCGCTTCACTCTCTAACCCAAGAAAAAATAGTTGTACGCATATCGAAGTATATATTTTCCGAAAGCTAATGAACTTGTCCAATAGGTGTAAAAATTATTTGATTTTAAACGGAATTATTCTTCTTCATATTTCGATCTAACCAGCCAAACTAGTTTTCGGGTGCTCTGGGTGGCTGGTCGATTTAAGTTAAAAAAAGGTAATAATAAAAGTAGATAGAGATTCTTAATTTCGTGTGCCGTTAGACAAACGTGTGCGCTAAGAGCACAGAAAAAGAGACTGTTCTGAAGGTAGTAGTTCACTTTTATTTTTAATTTTTGCCTGATCTTAGACGATCGGATCGCGGCTCGAGCGCGCTTTCCGGACTCAACCGCTTCACTCTCTAACCCAAGAAAAAATAGTTGTACGCATATCGAAGTATATATTTTCCGAAAGCTAATGAACTTGTCCAATAGGTGTAAAAATTATTTGATTTTAAACGGAATTATTCTTCTTCATATTTCGATCTAACCAGCCAAACTAGTTTTCGGGTGCTCTGGGTGGCTGGTCGATTTAAGTTAAAAAAAGGTAATAATAAAAGTAGATAGAGATTCTTAATTTCGTGTGCCGTTAGACAAACGTGTGCGCTAAGAGCACAGAAAAAGAGACTGTTCTGAAGGTAGTAGTTCACTTTTATTTTTAATTTTTGCCTGATCTTAGACGATCGGATCGCGGCTCGAGCGCGCTCCGGACTCAACCGCTTCACTCTCTAACCCAAGAAAAAATAGTTGTACGCATATCGAAGTATATATTTTCCGAAAGCTAATGAACTTGTCCAATAGGTGTAAAAATTATTTGATTTTAAACGGAATTATTCTTCTTCATATTTCGATCTAACCAGCCAAACTAGTTTTCGGGTGCTCTGGGTGGCTGGTCGATTTAAGTTAAAAAAAGGTAATAATAAAAGTAGATAGAGATTCTTAATTTCGTGTGCCGTTAGACAAACGTGTGCGCTAAGAGCACAGAAAAAGAGATTGTTCTGAAGGTAGTAGTTCACTTTTATTTTTAATTTTTGCCTGATCTTAGACGATCGGATCGCGGCTCGAGCGCGCTCCGGACTCAACCGCTTCACTCTCTAACCGAAGAAAAAATAGTTGTACGCATATCGAAGTATATATTTTCCGAAAGCTAATGAACTTGTCCAATAGGTGTAAAAATTATTTGATTTTAAACGGAATTATTCTTCTTCATATTTCGATCTAACCAGCCAAACTAGTTTTCGGGTGCTCTGGGTGGCTGGTCGATTTAAGTTAAAAAAAGGTAATAATAAAAGTAGATAGAGATTCTTAATTTCGTGTGCCGTTAGACAAACGTGTGCGCTAAGAGCACAGAAAAAGAGACTGTTCTGAAGGTAGTAGTTCACTTTTATTTTTAATTTTTGCCTGATCTTAGACGATCGGATCGCGGCTCGAGCGCGCTCCGGACTCAACCGCTTCACTCTCTAACCGAAGAAAAAATAGTTGTACGCATATCGAAGTATATATTTTCCGAAAGCTAATGAACTTGTCCAATAGGTGTAAAAATTATTTGATTTTAAACGGAATTATTCTTCTTCATATTTCGATCTAACCAGCCAAACTAGTTTTCGGGTGCTCTGGGTGGCTGGTCGATTTAAGTTAAAAAAAGGTAATAATAAAAGTAGATAGAGATTCTTAATTTCGTGTGCCGTTAGACAAACGTGTGCGCTAAGAGCACAGAAAAAGAGACTGTTCTGAAGGTAGTAGTTCACTTTTATTTTTAATTTTTGCCTGATCTTAGACGATCGGATCGCGGCTCGAGCGCGCTCCGGACTCAACCGCTTCACTCTCTAACCCAAGAAAAAATAGTTGTACGCATATCGAAGTATATATTTTCCGAAAGCTAATGAACTTGTCCAATAGGTGTAAAAATTATTTGATTTTAAACGGAACTATTCTTCTTCATATTTCGATCTAACCAGCCAAACTAGTTTTCGGGTGCTCTGGGTGGCTGGTCGATTTAAGTTAAAAAAAGGTAATAATAAAAGTAGATAGAGATTCTTAATTTCGTGTGCCGTTAGACAAACGTGTGCGCTAAGAGCACAGAAAAAGAGACTGTTCTGAAGGTAGTAGTTCACTTTTATTTTTAATTTTTGCCTGATCTTAGACGATCGGATCGCGGCTCGAGCGCGCTCCGGACTCAACCGCTTCACTCTCTAACCCAAGAAAAAATAGTTGTACGCATATCGAAGTATATATTTTCCGAAAGCTAATGAACTTGTCCAATAGGTGTAAAAATTATTTGATTTTAAACGGAATTATTCTTCTTCATATTTCGATCTAACCAGCCAAACTAGTTTTCGGGTGCTCTGGGTGGCTGGTCGATTTAAGTTAAAAAAAGGTAATAATAAAAGTAGATAGAGATTCTTAATTTCGTGTGCCGTTAGACAAACGTGTGCGCTAAGAGCACAGAAAAAGAGACTGTTCTGAAGGTAGTAGTTCACTTTTATTTTTAATTTTTGCCTGATCTTAGACGATCGGATCGCGGCTCGAGCGCGCTCCGGACTCAACCGCTTCACTCTCTAACCCAAGAAAAAATAGTTGTACGCATATCGAAGTATATATTTTCCGAAAGCTAATGAACTTGTCCAATAGGTGTAAAAATTATTTGATTTTAAACGGAATTATTCTTCTTCATATTTCGATCTAACCAGCCAAACTAGTTTTCGGGTGCTCTGGGTGGCTGGTCGATTTAAGTTAAAAAAAGGTAATAATAAAAGTAGATAGAGATTCTTAATTTCGTGTGCCGTTAGGGAAACGTGTGCGCTAAGAGCACAGAATAATAAGATTCTTGTGAAGCGAGTAGTTCGTTTTCATTTTTAATTTTTGCCTGATCTTAGACGATCGAATCGCGGCTCGAGCGCGCTCCGGACTCTCCCGCTAAAAATCGGACTCTCCCGATAAAAATCAAAGCTAGAAGCAGACAAAGAACGCACCCGACAAGAAGCAACGCCAAAGAAAGATAACGGATACAGTCTCAAAGAGCTAAGTGGGTCAGGGGGCCCAGGCAAGGGGTGGCCCTAGGGTGCCTCAATGTCCTTCTGTTTAGGGTGATGCCACCCTTTGTAGTACCTGATGCGGACAGCACGCGCTCACGGGCAAAATACAAAGAAATCGACGAAAACAAAATGTCGCCATAGCACAGTCAGCGCCACAAGCGCGTGCAGGGACACGCTCTTTCACCTGCTTCTCAACAAAAAATAAACGTGTGTGACAAAATGGCGACATGCCACCACCCTAAGCAAAGCGCGCATGAAGGCACCCTAGGTGGCCCGGCGTGCGCGTTCTAAGCGGAGTCGAGTTAGAAAAAAGATTTCAGCGCGTGGTTCACCAAATGCAAAGGTAGAAATATGACATTTTCTAAAAATGCCTGGCACTTCGTTCTCTTCTACAGCACGAGCCGCGACGTTCGGCAACCGCTTCGAGGATCTGACCGGCTGTGTCCCGGTATCGACCACCTGAACCGGGAGCTACGCACGGTGCGAAGGGAACAGCGGAGGCACGAGCATCTACGCCACCCCGTCCCTGGACTGAGCGGCTACACAAGCGAGGAAACGAGCCTCGTCACGACATATGCCGGGGAATCTCTAGGCCTCGTAGAACTTTCTTTCTCCCGACCCTTCTCTTACCAACCCCGGACGAGCCTGTGACAATGTGCGACAGACATTGCTAATTGTTCTGTACAGAAGAGAACGAAGTGAGATGACAATTTCGTGTGCCGCTAAAAAAACGTGCGCGCCAAGAGCACAGAAAAACAAGTTAAAAAATGTAATAATAAACGGAGATAGAGATTCTTAATTTCGTGTGCCGTTAGAGAAACGTGTGCGCTAAGAGCACAGAATAATAAGATTCTTGTGAAGCGAGTAGTTCATTTTAATTTTTAATTTTTGCCTGATCTTAGACGATCGAATCGCGGCTCGCGCGCGCTCCGGACTTTCCCGCTTTACCTGCTTCACTCTCTAACGCAACGAGAAATACTTTTACGCATATCGAAGTATATATTTTCCGAAAGCTAATGAAATTCTCCAATAGGTGTGAAAAGCACTTGGTTTTAAACGAATTGTTCTTCTTTTTTTGCTGAAAAACTCAAATCACTTTCGTTTGGCAAATAATCAAAAACTCGAAATTAAAGGATAGTATAATGGACGTACACTTACCCCAATGTGTCGAACGAAAGGAGGCCCTTTGACGAAGGCAGGAAGCGTGAGGCGACGTTCGGGGTCCGAAGAAGAAGAAGACCGATTTCGGAACAAAGAACAAAGAAGGAGCTGGACACTGGCGACTACGCGACTGCTCCCAAGCACAACGGAAACCACACTGGGGCCGGCCTCTGGGAACAAAGGAAAGCGGAGGAGGATGAGCGAGGAGGAGAGGGAAAGAGAAGGAAAAAAGTCGGGAAGGGGATCGCGCCGCCTGGTGGAGGGCAGACACACCACTCGCATCGGGTATTTTTTTCTTTATTATTTTGTTTATTTTTTGCACTATTTATTAAGGGAAGCATTCTCGTTGATCTCCCTTCATTAATACTGGTCGTATCTCATCACCGCTAGCACCGATGTGTTCCTTGGTCTTTCTAGACTCTATGGACACCACTTTGAACGTGTGAAATAAAAGGTTTCGCGATGCTACGACGCTTTTACCGTGGGCATGGTCATGGCGGCCATTTCTCCTTTTAGAAACCTTTGTTCGGACCTCCGAGGCTGAATTTTCGTTTCCGAGACGCGATGTTGGTGTCAAACGTGAGCAGGCGTTTCGTAGAACACCCGACGACTGTACTTTACCTCTGATCGAGTTGATTTTTTACTGTACGAGCACTGATGCGACTTTCCACAGGAAAGCACTAATTTTCGGGTTCGATATTGCTCAGCCCTCCTCCCTCGTACGTTTTCTTGAGAAAACTGTTTTTGTTTCTTGTTTAGCAACGGCCAGCGCACCTTTCGAAAGTTATTAGAAAACTTTATCTGCTCTGGATTTTAAATAAAGACACACCTGGGTCCTGTAGCCGAAAGATTTTTTTTTCTAAGCTTTGGAACCTCCTTTCGTAAAGGTATGCCTACTGAAATTTGAGGCCTCTGGTACCTTGCTACCTGTGAAGTTTCAACCCTCTGGATCCATCCGTTTTTCTCTGACGGCCAAAATTTGAATGCAGGCCTGTCTTAGTAAATCACGTTCAGGGGCTCTGGAAGCGGGGGGGGGGCAGGGTGGGCTTGAGCCCCTCCTGTCCTCAGGACCGAGCTGCCGAGCCCCCCCTCCCCCTCCCTCTTTTTTTTTCTTTTTTTTTAGTTTGTGTGTTTGCAGGTTATCTGGTATGGGCCTTCGACCTATTTCCTGTACCTCCGTCTCTCCTGAGCCGAAATAAATGAAATGACTCTTTATACATGCTGACCTACCGCCCTCCTCACCTCCGCCAAGCACAAAAAGCACCGGGGCGACGGAGAGGCTTGCTTGAAAAGTCAAAACCAGAAGAAAATGACAGGCAGGACTCATGAGCCTGATTGACAACCAGTTTAGAGCGAGCAAAGAGGAGACAGCGAAATGAATGGATTCCGACAAGACGACGTCGGCCAGCGTTTGTCTGCTTCCCCCGTGTGGAAGCAAGAAGCCCAGAAGATGCATGGTGCTTCTGGCCCGCGGACAAAACAGGCAGGCGCTTAAAGGCCATCATTAGGAAAAGGGGGAGGGGGGGGGGTCTGGTGAGCTTGAGTGGGGATTCGGGAGTGCTTAGAAAAGGCGAAAGTCTACGAGCTCCCAAATTTGACAAGGCGCCTTTGATGGCGAAAGCTTTGCGCGCATGCGGCGTCGTGCCCGCAGGGTGGTGAGGCATGAGGCGACACATGTTTACAAACTAAGGACAACACAACACGAAGTCTGAAACACAGCTATTATCCTTCAGTACTCTCCTTTTGTGATGCCCCCCAACTTGTATTGACGCCAGGAGTCCGAAGCGATCACGGTCGATGTACTTGATCCTGAGGTACATACCGATGTATGCAACCTCTGCTTCCAGTTAAGACATCCGATGGCCCAACTTGCTGTGTTTGAGACTCCGTGTTGTGTTGTCCTTTTTTCCCCCGAGTTTCGGGGTTTTGTCTAAAACTTTTAACACTTGTTTGTCTACGTCTGCGTTAATACATCATGCTTCCCCGAGAATCCCTAAATGAAGGAAGGTTTTCATTTTTAGACATAGCCAATTTGGCATAGGCACAGCTGCGGTTGACATGTAACAGTTGGTATAGGAAAGAAAAAATAAAGAACACATGGTGCGGCTGATTTCAGTGGTTATCCAATCATTGTATGAGTTGTCAGTGCAAGCTTCTTACTGTTATTTTACTGAACCATTGTTTTAATTTGTTTTCCATGGATATGTGCGTGAATATGCGAACGCGGTGCATTAATATGTTTTCATTCAAATGTGGCAATTAATGTCAACCTGAAACCAACCTAACCTTGAGGATTTCGGAGATGTCGAGCCCCCCCTCTAAAGAAAGACTTCCGGAGCCTCTGGTCACGTTTGTTTTGATTAAAGTGTGTCTCCACATGTTACGGGGTGTGGGCTCTGTAGGGTTGTGTGGAGTCCCTCTTGCAGCACAGATGTGCATTTGTCCTCACCGTCTCTGGAAAAGACGACCATAACTCAGAATGAACGTCCCTCGGAGACGAAAGGCACACTTTTGGTTTGGCGCAGAAACAACGCCCGCGTTCAGATGTTGGCCGTCAAGTGAAAACGGACTTAGCTTGAGGGTTCAAACTGCTCAGATAGCAACCTAGAAGGTTACTCGTGCTTCAGTCGAGCTCATCTTGCACCAGAAAAAGCACAAGGGGGGAAAATAGGAGTGTGGGAGCGGTTGTACTGTGGCGGCATGTCTAGAAAAAGCTCAAAAGTGATTTGTGGAGTCCCTCTTGCGGCACAGATCTGTATTTGTCCTCACCGTCTCTGGGAAAGACCACCTTAACAAAAGAATGGACGTGAAAGTGAGGCAAAGGGCGTAGTTTTGCTTCGAGGTAGAAACAGCGCCTGCGTTCAGATGTTGGCCGTCAAGTGAAAACGGACTTAGCTTGAGGGTTCAAACTGAACAGATAGCAAGCTAGAAGGTTACTCGTGCTTCAGTCGAGCTCATCTTGCACCAGAAAAAGCACAAGGGGGCAAAATAAAGAGTGTGGGGCCAGTTGTACTCTAGGGGCATGTATACAAAAAGCTCTGCAGGAACAAACCTTTTCCCGAGGTGGACAGCAGGGGCCTGAAGACATAAATAAAAAAGAAGTGGCTCATTTAACGAGTCTTCACTGCGCCAGAAAAACAAGAATCAGCTCATTTCTTTTTGAGACCTCAGACTTTATTAGGCCAAGAATACAATTTTTCAGACGAGCTGTCTCAATGTAAAAACACACTTCCTTATTAGTACCCTTTTGACACACAAACAGTCCTACCTGGTGCGAGACCCTTCCCCAACAATTTGATAGTTGTACGTACCTATAATGGTTTTCTAATTACGAGCGAGCGGCAGCTCTTTGAAGTCTTGCTCGCGCTCTGGTGAGCCTTCAAAGGACCAGCCGCTCCGCCGAAGGCGCGCGCCGCACGAGATGAATGAATTAAAATAATCGCGCGCGCATAGCGAACGTTCCTTTTACCCGAGGGAGCGCTTCAGAACAAAAAAGCAAATTGTGGTAGCAAAAGATGAAGCCGTGAGCAATATCGAACACGAAAATGACTGCTTTCGTGCGGGAAGTCGCATCAGTGCTCCTACAGTAAACTATCGACTCGATCCGAGGCAAACTACAGTCGTCGGGTCTTCTACGGAACGCGTGCTCACGTTTGACACCAACATCGCGTCTCGGAAACGAAAATTCAGCCTCGGAGGTCCGAACACAGGTTCGGAAATTAGAATTGGCCGCCATGACCATGCCCACGGTAAAAGCGTCGTAGCATCGCGAAACCTTTTATTACACACGTTCAAAGTGGTGTCCGTAGAGTCTAGAAAGACCAAGGAACGCATCGGTGCTAGCGGTGACGAGATACGACCAGTATTAATGAAGCGAGATCGAAGAAAGGATCGGTGCCTAAAGTGAGGAAAGCGAATGGCTGGCTTCGATGTGAAAACTTTCAAACGCCGTTTATTTCGCGAAACTCGCATCACACAAGAAAAGAAATCGGTCTCTGTCCAGTCCAGGGGCGGCTGGGAACAAGTGTCCCCCATTTGATATCGTAAATTCAAGGTCGTAATATAGATTTCAGAAATTCAATATTTTCAATGGTAAAACAAAAGGCACCAGGTGGCGGGATTTACCGACCGGTCGGAATTGCTCAGCCGCACTCATGGATCCATTCATTCGAAACGGGTCATCTATCTATTCATTCATAAAAAATGTAATTCCTGGCCGTGTTTTAAAATTAACGAAATCATACTGCGAGGTAAAGCTTCTGTACACCTGGCGTTTTGAAACCTGCCTGCGTCCAGCGTTCTTTCATTTCTGCTGTCACGTGACACGATCCGCCCGAGTAACTCGGGTTTATTAGGGTGAGATTTGAAACACAGCCCTGGTTTAATAAAACCAAACTTAGAATTACGGGAATCGTCTTATTTTTGAAAACGATGTCGTCGAGACCCGTGTCCCACAACAAGTTTAAATTATTTAGGTCAAGTATTTAGAAATTTACCGCCCATTCGTGGTTCTGGTTTGGTTTTTGCAAAAAAAAGCAAATGGCTGCCGCGTGTTTTGCTCGCAACCGGAGGTGATTCAATCGCACGAAGCTCGGAAAGTAGGCTAGCTAGGACATTTATTTTAACCAGGGAGTAAGATTATGTTCCGAGGAACATTCGAGGCGCGTCTCATCGATGTAGGTATTCTAAAAAGAAAGTTATCAACAGAAGTTTACGTGTAAGTAAGGCTTTCACTGTACGATGTTTTGATTTCACATATGCTCGTATAAAAAAAACTACGATAGCTAGAAAGTTCTAATTCGCAGCGAATGATCGCGCTCTGAATTTAGACGCACTGTTAAAATTTCATCGCTCCAGCTAGTCTAGAACTCGTTATATTCGCGAAAACAGGTTTTGGGACTCTGCTCGGAAATTAACAAGCCCGACCAAGTTCAATCGTTCGCTTGTGGATATTCAAGACCGCTGGAGTGCATTCATCGATTGTGGTCGTGAAAACAACATCATAGGAACATGTGTGTGCAGTGAAACCGTGTCAGCTCATCTCAATCGAGACTCATCGATCAACAGGGAGGGTGTCCCGAGCACAAGTGGATGGATATACTTCAAAGAGCTGCCGCTCGCTCGGAATTAGAAAACCATTAAGCTATCCGATTGTCGGGAAAGGGTGTCGCACCAGGTAGGAGTGTTTGTGTGTCAAATTTCTTCGAGATAGCAAACGCAAAAGTTGTTTCATCGACCTAATAAAAGCACTGTCAGTACTCGGCTCATTTCTGGTGTTTTTTCTGTTTTTTTTTTTGTTTTTTTTAGTGAAAAAAGATGACTCTTCAGATTACCATTTCTTTTAGGTAATTGAGAAGTTGCATTAAAGAAACCGCCTGCACAGTAAATACAAATGGTT